TTTCTGAACGGAACTCCCAGTTTTTGACCCGTACTACTTCCACGCAGCGTAAAATGGCAGCTTTGCATGCTTCGCTCCCCCACGTCGCCAGCGTCACGTGGCCCGTCGAGGAGTCCCCGCAGCGTTCCTCCTTGCATCAATCGATGCCTCCGCTCGGGGTCCTCGTCTGCACGGCCGTCCAGGGGAGCTGTTCGCGAGACAACACCCCTGAGGCCCCGGATGCCAACTGGAGGCACAACACTCGTTTCCCCGGTGATTGCTGCCACCGCCGTGTCATCGCCGGCTCCCGTCTGCTCTCCGCCTTCGTCACGGGCCCTCTCGATGGTGGGCAAGGCGGTTTTCGCAGCGACATCTGCTGCCGGTGTCTCCATTCCCCGTTCACCACCCTTTTGCCTGCGTAGAGCGATGCCATTCATCGTCGCCTCCCACCGCAACAGCTCCGCCTCAGCCTGGCGACTGCGAAGCTGCTGCTCAATCAAAAGACGCGCACGACGCATAGTCTCCGTTTTAATTCTTTCCTCAAGATCCGGTCCAGACCGAAGCGGGAATCCCAACAGCGGCTCCCATTTCCCGCTGCCCGAAAAAAAAAGTTCTCTGGCGTGGTATCACGCCATGCTGCTGCGTCCGCCATACAAAACCTACCCGTGTTCGTTGCGTGTGGCCGCCTCGCGCGTTTTCTTGTGGGCTCCACTTCCACGCGCATCGGCAGCGTGGTCTTGTGGTCGATGGGGAACCGTTCCATCATACTGACAGCCGCCCTATCGAGTCTCCGCTTGTCGAGTGGGTGACTCTGCGTCCTCCTTGCGTCCCCTCCGTGACGCATTCGTATTGTGTGCCGATATGGGCAAACTGAGCGCTATGAGCAGCAAAACAGAAAAGAAGGGGCGAAAAGCACACGGATGCATGCATAAGTGAAAACAGCAAAAAAGAAAGGAGAGCGTGACACAGGCTGGCCTTGTGCTCTCACTCTCACCCCTCCTCGGCAACCCCACTATCTCCCTATTCCTCCACGCACACCAGCGCCTGCCCAAGCAAACGTGTCATCTCGCTCCGCATGGGTACCCGCATGCGTGTGCTCCAGCTGCCATCCCAAAAATTCGCGCAGGCAGCAGAAAATAAACAAAATAATTAGGCAAATAAAAGCTCTTTTCCGGCAGCCGTTGAGTGCAACGGAGTCATGACAACTGTTTTCCCTCATTTACCCACTCTCGCCGTGCACCTCCTTTCGCCTCAACACCAACGGGGCTCCCGCTTCCAGCAGGCCTCACCCGCCCAACAATACCGTGAGGGTTCACGTGGTGCAAAAAAATGTTCACCACCGCCAGCAAAGCACAAATTCCCACACACAGCGAGAGCACTCGGGAAAAGCACTACCACACACCACACAAAAAAAAAAAACAAATGAATCATTTGCCTCAGGCACGGGCGAGACTCAGCCCACCGTCCACCTTTAATGTAATGCCAGTGATGTAACCTGCGTCCTTCGACACAAGAAATGCAATGGCATCCGCAATTTGAGCAGCAGAGGCCTCGCTTTGGCCGAGCGGTACTTTATGCCGATACTCCTCCTGCGTCTCCTGCGGCATTGCGGGGGGGAAAAGACTCAGCCCCGGCGCAACCGCATTGACGCGGATGTGGCGCGGCGCCAACTCCAAGGCAGCCGCCCTCGTGAGTCCGCCAAGCGCATGTTTCGCCATCGTGTAGACACAAAAGCCCGGCAGCGGAAGATCAGTCATGGCGTCGCAAAGGTTGACCACCGACAGGTTGCGGCTCCTCCACGCACCCCCTCGCCCTGCCTGCGGGCAAACGCCCGGATCAAAAAAAGCGGCGCAACGACGTTTTAACCAAATAACTCGGCGACCTGCGCATCAATCGGCTTCGCGTCCGCGGCGCCGTTCGTGTCATCTCCCGGCAGCAGCGGAGTCGGGTAATACGCGGAGGCGTTGTTCACCAACACATCGCACCGACCAAAGGCACGAAAAGAGCAGTCGATGATGTCCTCGCAGCAATCGAGAAGAGAGCTGCTGAGACTGAGGTCCCCCCTGCACAACACAGCGGATCCAGCGCGAGCAGCATTGAGCTCCGCAACGAGCCGCTGCGCCGCCCCTTCGGAGTGACGGTAGTGCACGACGACTCGGAATCCCTGCTGGTGCAGACGCACAGCGATACTGTGACCGATGCGTCGCGCTCCTCCGGTGATGATGGCAGCGGGGCACTCCGAGGCTTCATGCGACGTTTCGTTCATCCACCCTCCTGTGTTTTCTCACTCTTTGCTTCCCAAGAAAAGTCCATGGTGGAAGAGCAACAGTTTTTTGTGGCGGCCAGAGGAAGTGGACTCGGGCACACCACGCACGGCAGGGCAACACAAACACACTTCTGCCAGCGACAACATTCGCCAACACGTCGTCACAACAACGTTCTCTCATTCCTCTCGTTGCTTCACACACACACAGTCTCTCCCTCCCCGTGGGTGTGGATGCCTGCCTCACTCGCCGCCACGCTTCTGCTCCATGGCCCACCGCCTCACACTCTCACGCTTCTGCTCCTCCCGCAAGCCCGAGAGCAGAACAACCCAAACGGGCACTACAAACATCACCGCAAGCGCCACAGCGACGCTCACCTCACGCTCGGTCTGTCGCCATGCGTGCATGCCTGGCGTCTCCACGGGACGCACACGGTTCGGTGCGTTGCCAAAGCGTCGATGCGGCACTGTCGGCGTCCCTGTGCGGAATGCACACAGTCGCCGCATTGCAGCCTACCCGCCTAGCAAGATGAAAAGAAACGCAGAAACACACACATAGACAAAAACATACACACACAGTTGAAACAGACTGATCGGCAAACAAACAGATGGTGTCTGAGCGCGGCGCGGCGCTCATTACACGCAGCACTCAGTAACAAACAAGGGCTCGATCCACCACACAAATTCTACTGATGAAACCCACCACACACAAAAAAGGAAAAAAAAACCACGCGCTCACGAGACGATCTAAAGACAATAACTCGCCCATAAACAACGGGCAAGCTCCATGTGTGCCCTGGCCGCAAAAAAAGAAAAAAAGGCGGATGACGCAAGGCACACAATCGACCATTTACCACACATTCTCTTCACAGGCAAATTTCATACATAGTTACATACAACAAACCCATCAACACCCTACATAAATGCACACACGCAGAGATATACGCAGAAAGAGAGACGCACATGGTGCAAAAAAAACAAAACAAAAAAAAAAAACAAAACAAAAAAAAAAAAAAAAAACAAAAAAAAAAAATCTGATTTTGACTTTTTCAGCTGGATGCCACCCAAAACAGCCAGTCATCACGAAGCCGCCGCAACACCCACACTCGCCATGAACTTCGCGGCCTCCTGCTTCCCCAGCGCGGCCACAAGCTCCGAGAACCTCGACGACGGGTCCGACACAAGCTCGCGTGGGGAGCCCGACTCCGCGACGACGCCGTGGTCCATGACGATGATTTTGTCGTACGCCGCCACCGTGTGCAGGCGGTGGGCGATGGTGATGACGGTGTGTGAATTGAAGGCGGTCATCACCGTGTGTTGGATCTGCTGGTCGAGCGCGTGGTCGATGTTGGCAGTGGCCTCGTCCATCGGGATGAAGCCGCTGCCCCGCCGCAGCAGCGCACGCGCCAGGCACAGCAGCTGCCGCTGGCCCACGCTGTAGTTCGACCCGCCCTCCTGCACGCGGCCGTCGATGCCGCCGCTCTCCAACTCCACACGCTCCCGCATCCTACCAGCTCCAGCGCACGCCACACCTCCGCCGGCGTCGAGTCGAGGAAA